ATGAACAATCTTGGATTCACATGGAAAATATAGAATGTAGACTACTTTTTCTAGATGTTTGTTCATTAGCACAGTTGCTCTTAAATAAACACATTCTCTGAAAATAAAGTTTTTTTATATTAAAAATATAAAGCTGACTAATAGCTTCTCCTTTATTCAACAATATTGGACCATGAAAAACAGATTTACCTTCTGAAAGCCTCAGAAGGGCAGGATTTATAAAGAAAAAGTAAACCTGGACATGAAATTATGTTTTATAAAATGTTTTATAATGTTTTGTGTTGTTGGCTTTCATATAAATATACTGCTGTGATAACTTAGTATACATTTGATTGATTTTTGGTCAACATGTATTTTGAATTGATAGCCCCGCCCCTGGAGGAAACTCCACCAGCCGCCGCTGGGTTTAACCTCTAGAAAACCTGCTCTGATCATCTATGGGGCGAATTTTGATCCATGATTAATTCAAATAATGCCTTTTGTACAAATTAAGGTTGTTGAGATTCAAATATGGTTGAAAAAATATCAAAAATACAGATTATTTAGGCATAAATTAACAAGAATGTGATCTGAAAAACCTAATCTGAAAAGAATACAATTTAAAAAAACTCAATCTGAAAAAGAAAATTTAAAGAATTACATTTCAAGATATAAAATCTGTGGAAAAAAAGAAAAGAAAGCTCAGAAACATCAACTCTCAAAAACTTTGATTTAAAAATATTTAAAGTTTAACTTCTGGATCTGAATTCAGTAGATGTGTTCCTGCTGCGTTAATAACGGAGCAGAGTTCACTCCATAGAGGATCGCAGTGTTTAATTCAGGAAGAAGCGTAAAATAACAGAAAGCTCACCGGTTCTGATGAAGATGAAGGCTGTGTAAGCTCCAAAAACCGCCGTGTAGGAGAACTGAAAGACTGCAGCAGAGCAGAGAGGCAAACATTGCATCACAACCATGAGCAGAGCGCTTTAGAGGACATGAAGGGCAGGAAGGCCTCGGTCACCTGCAGAGAGGAGGATCCCCGACAGCGTGGCCTGCCTGAACCGCAGCAGCTCGATGACGTGGTGGAAGTGAGCTGAAACAAACGGAGCAGCGTTTCAGTCGGAGCAAATATGAAAACCGCGTTCA